CACCATGAAATACTCTCGCTCTTCGCCGACGATCCGAAAGCGCCCTTCTCTATCCACCGCTTCGTCGAGCACGGCGCTGCCGTGTGTGGAAAGTACCCTGGCGAGTGGTTCGGTCCCTCAGCCGCAGCACGGTGCATACAGGATCTAGTGCACAAGTACAAGGAAGCTGGACTGAGAGTATACGTATCCGGTGACGGCGCCGACGTGTATGAAGATAAGCTGAAGCAAATCGCCGTGGACGACGACGGAGAATGGCGACCTACGCTGATCCTCGTCGGCACAAGGTTGGGCATCGACAAGATCACTCCAGTGTATTGGGAGGCGCTGAAGGCGAGCCTGCAGATGAAGCAGAGCATTGGCATTGCAGGGTGAGGCGCAACAAGTGTCTGTCATACTTCGAGACGAGTTATACTAATTGTTCACAGTGGCCGCCCTTCAGCATCACATTACTTCGTAGCCACGCAGGCGAATAACTTCTTCTACCTTGATCCCCACAGCACGCGCCCACTCTTACCCTACCGCTCCCCTTCGTCATCCACTGAAGACCAGGAAACAGCCGCTCCTTCCACACTAGAAGCTTCAGCAACGTCCACCTCGTCATCAACAACCATCGTCCCTTCATCAAACTCATCATCTTACTCCGCCGAAGAACTCGCCTCTTGCCACACGCGCCGCATCCGCCGTCTCCAGATCCGCGAGATGGACCCCTCCATGCTTCTCGCCTTCCTCATAACGTCACAAGAGGACTACGATAACTGGAAAGAAGGTGTTCGCAGCGTGCAAGGCAAGAGTGTGGTGCACGTGCAGGACAAAGAGCCGGCGCCGCGGGGACAAGAAAGAGAGGGTGCTATTGACGAGGTCGAGAGTTGGGACGAAGATGGCTTGCAATAGGCAACTGCCGTCTTGATTGCTATGGCGTTTTCTGTTGGGTTTCGCAATGATATCAATACGGGTACATGCATGTCTGGAGTCATGGGATTCGAGGGTTTGGTACGTGTATATCCGTGAATGACGCGTTTTGGTGCGCAATCCATAAATCCATAAATCTTGGTAATGTTTGCTAAGGTACGGACGCTTGCCATGTGGAAACTCGTGCTTGTCGCTTCAGTTCTGGATTTCACTCGTTCCTGTCGCTGGGCGCCTACGTCATCTAGACCGAATTCGTCAAACGCGCGGTTCCTCCGGTTTCGTCAAGATATCATGAAAGACGCGTTCGGCGCGTGTTCGTAGATCACGGCGCGTGACCCCCAGCCACGCGTCGATATCGCGTATCGTCTCTAGAAAGGCGCGCTTCCGGATCTACGCGGCATGGCTGAATGACGAATGCGCTCTGTGTGGAACGGGAATCTGTGAGTCAAAGAAGAGGATACGATGTGCAGAAAGTGGGAGTCAAATGAAATGAAGTCATTTGTGAAGTTCGAAATAATTGATTCGTTCCCGTCTGCTGTGGTATAATGTACAGACCCTGATGGACCTCGTAGTCGAATACGACTAGATGATTCGATGACAGACAAACCGACCCATGATCACATTAGCAAAGGACCCGTGAACACCGCACCCCATAACCACTTGTCAAATAGACAAGAAAGACCCAAAGAAAACATCCGGCGAAAAGAAAGCACTCTATTTGGTGGAGGAAGAGTACTTGGTGACAGCCTTGGTACCCTCGGAGACGGCGTGCTTGGCAAGCTCACCAGGCAGGATCAGACGGACTCTGTGGTTGAGGTCAGTATATAAGACTTGATGTGGAAGAAGTGTGGAAAACGTACGATGTCTGGATCTCGCGCGATGAGATGGTGGACTTCTTGTTGTAAGCAGCGAGCTTGCTGGCCTCGGTGGCGACGCGCTCGAAGATGTCGTTGACGAAAGAGTTGAGGATGCTCATGGCACGGTTGGAGATACCGGTGTCGGGGTGGACCTGCTTGAGGACTAAAGACGCGTCAGCAAATTCTGCTCAGTGGATGCCGATGAAGCGCAAGGCCTCGGAGGCTGGATGACGCGCTCAGAACGCGCAAAGTGCAAACTCACCCTTGTAGATGTAGGAGGAGTAGGTCTCCTTCCTGGTCTTGGTGCGCTTCTTCTTGTCACCGGAGGGCGCGGCGGTCTTCTTGCCAGCCTCCTTCTTCTCAGCGGGAGCCTTGCCAGCCGGGGCCTTGCCGCCGGTGGTGGGAGTCTTCTGGGCCTTGGGGGGCATTTTGGTGGATTTGAGAGGTGGTGGTAAAAAAGGTGGGTTTGGGTTAAAAGCAGAAGCTTGGAGTGAGATGGAGTTGGTCGAGCGTCGTGGTGGGAGTTTGCGATGGATGAAGGGAAAGGTCGTCGACGGCGGGGAGTGCGCTACTTATGGGGAGCGCGCTCTCATGTTGTGATCCAGCAGCGGCTGGGAGGCCCGTGCAGCAGCTCTTGCCGGTTTGGTGGCTAAGCGAGGCCCGCCATTGATCTTGCGCAGTCTGGCGGCAGGCGCTAGGCGGCGTCGCTGCCTTTTCGCGCGCTAGCGTGGGCAGGTTGATCTCGCGCACTCACAACAGTCCAGCGCCGTCCTTATAAGACCGCCCCGCCCCCCGACAGCAGCAAGCAATCCATCGTCTCGACACTCCACGCCCACAACCAGCTCATCCCGCTCAATCTACTCAACTCTCCAACCTCTCCCACTTCCAAACCAACCCCCAAACCAACTCTCTCAAAATGACTGGAGGCAAGTCCGGAGGCAAGGCCAGCGGCTCCAAGTCCAGCGCCCAATCGTGAGTACTCCATCTCCCGCATCGCGCCTTGAGCTCCAGTTTGCCTTGCGCATTCTTTAGCATCACTTTGCATCCTTTTGACGCGTCTTTTGCTTGATTGACGCGTCTTTTCGCATTGCATTGCGCACTCCATCTCCAACATTGCATCATTGCTAACTCTTCCTTAGCCGCTCATCCAAGGCCGGTCTCGCTTTCCCCGTCGGTCGTGTCCACCGTCTTCTCCGCAAGGGCAACTACGCCCAGCGTGTCGGTGCCGGTGCCCCCGTCTACCTCGCTGCCGTCCTTGAGTACCTCGCTGCTGAGATCCTCGAGTTGGCCGGTAACGCTGCCCGCGACAACAAGAAGACCCGTATCATTCCCCGCCATCTCCAGCTCGCCATCAGGAACGACGAGGAGCTGAACAAGCTTCTCGGACACGTCACCATCGCCCAGGGTGGTGTCCTCCCCAACATTCACCAGAGTACGTTGCTCCACAGTCCACTCGCATCGCATCAGCTGCTAACATACTTTCAGACCTTCTGCCCAAGAAGACAGCCAAGCCTGGCAAGGGTCCTTCGCAGGAGCTCTAAACGCGTCCTGCATTTGAGTTTCTTCTTCACGGCGTGGTTACTTCATGGGTCTTTTTCATCTGCAATGATAATGGGAGTCGGTCTGGGTTTGGGTTCTCGGCTTTTTACGGGATTTATACCAGAGCTGTATATTAGCTGGTTGTATTGACGACCGCGAGCTCATGAGCTGAATCGAGAGCATATCACTTCATCTACCGTCTTCTGCCGTGAATTCCATCTTGCTAACGTCCAGCTTTGCATACGCGCTATTTGGACTTTGCCATGCGCGCCGTGTAACCTTATCCACCAGCTAGCTACACCGCCACTTGTCGCGCTTGTTCATCTGAGTAACGCGCAGACTCCACTTCCCCTACACGTGCGATAACGTTGCGTCGCCCGTATTCCACCATCGCGCATCCTCGACCATGCTGTCTTGACAAGTATTTCGCGTTCGAATTGAGACAATCGGGATTATGGGTATTCAGCGACGAGAACAAGCGAATTGGGCAATAGGTGGCATATATGTGCATGGTAGAGATAGCCATATTTGCTGCGTTGAGCGCATCCCATGTGGTAGTCGACGGAGCTGTGTGACGTAACCCGGGGTACGATGTACCACCTACCGTGGACTACACTGCGCTCGGATAACAGTCAATTAGCACTTCTGGGTAGTTTAGCTGTATCTTTGGACGATAATGGTGCAAATATGCATACTATGCGTAGGTGACTAGTGTTCTTAGCGGTTCACCGTGAATGCACTGTGCACATGTCCACAGGTGCACCGTCTCAGATAACATGACTTGATATATCCCCCGTGTTCTAATTAATCCTCTTTTTATCTGTACTGTTGGCTGTACTCGGTTTTCTAGGTCCAAGGTGTTCATTTCGCATGATGTGTGTTGGTGGATGTCTTCCTCGGGTCATGTACCCATCTGCATTGTTGACGGCGTGCTGAACGTAAAAGGCATGCTACGTATTTTATGCCATGAAATGTATGTTATACATCATGAGCAGCTCGTGGTATGATAGCTTCATGCTGGTAGCGTCGATTGGTTCTTTTCCTCGTCTGTTGTTTGTTCGAGATATGTTGGAAGGTTCACCTTGAACTTTTGGATTAAAGTACTAACAGCAACTTGTTCAAAAAATCATCACGTTCCACCACCACACTCAAAACCTTCGAAACTGCATGTATCGACTAATGGAACCCCATTTTTCATCATGGAACCAATTATGGTTTCGATTTCCAACCTTGTGGTGTACACTTCATATAACAGCCTTCACGGTGTGCGAACCACAGACGCGACCACCGCGCTTTCACGTAGTAGACGCGTATACGCGCGTTTTTGTACATGCAAATAACTTCAAAAATCTGACTAGAGGCTATAGAGACGACTGTATTTATTAAGGTCGTCACATAGACATGAACGTCGACGCGTCAAGTACCGTCTGGCCTGCGCAAAGACGCGACATTGACATGGGAACACATCCACACACGATATCACTCAAGCAACGCCCAACCTGCACCAAATCACTCATGCACACAGCTGAAGCCTAATCAAACACATGTATGCAATACGAATGATTCAATGCATGCAAAAATATCTCGTTGATCCATTCAACCACACCTCTCTCTGCCCCGCTGCTGGTTCCTGCGCTTTCGCGCAAAAACCTCCCATCCTACATATACACAAAGACACGATTACAGCATCAACGCTTACAAGAGCATCTTCCTGGGGTCCTCAATGTACTCCTTGACCTTGACGAGGAAAGTGACAGCTTCCCTTCCGTCGAGCAGTCTGTGGTCGTATGTGAGCGCAAGGTACATCATCGGCCTGATCTCGACCTTTCCATTGATAGCGACCGGCTTCTCCTTGATGGCGTGCAGACCGAGAACGGCGGTCTGGGGAAGGTTGATAATGGGAGTACCCATCAGACTGCCAAAGACACCGCCGTTGGAGATGGTGAAGGTGCCACCAGCCATGTCCTCAATGGTGAGCTTGTTGTCGCGCGCCTTCTTGCCGAGGTCGGCAATGGCCTTCTCGATGCCGACCATGTCCAAGCTCTCAGCGTTTCGGACGACGGGAGTGACGAGACCCTTCTCGGTAGCGACGGCAACAGAGATGTCGACGTAGTCGCGGTAGACGATGGTGTCGCCGCCATCAGGGCCCTCAATGGAGGCGTTGACAGCGGGTACGTCGCGTGCGGCGAGAATGCAGGCGCGCGAGAAGGCGGACATGAAACCGAGCTTGACGCCCTTGTTCTTGAGAATCTCGTCCTTGTAGAGCTTGCGGAACTCCATAATGGAGGACATGTCGACCTCGTTGAAGGTGGTCAGGGAGGCGGCGGTGTTTTGCGACTGCTTCAAGCGCTCGGCGATGCGGAGGCGCATGCGGTTCATCTTGACCTGCAAGGCTGTGAGTACACAATATTTGAGCATACAGTAAGATTACATACGCGGCGCTCCTCACGGCTGCCAGGTGTAGCCGGCTTGGTCTCCTCGGGCTTGGAATCCTTCTTGGGAGGTGCAGGCTTGGATTCTTGCTTGGGCGGCTGGGGCTTCTCTTCCTGCTTGGGAGGCTCTGGTTTCGACTCCTCCTTTGGCGCTTCTGGCTGAGACTGCTCTTGCTGGCCCTCGGGTTGCGACGAAGTCTCCTGGTCCTTGGACGCAGGCTCCTTGGGCTGCTCACTGGCCTCCTCCTTCTTTCCGCCAGCGGGGGCACCGCCGGCCTCAAGCTTTACGATGTCCTGTCCGACGGTGACGGTGTCCTCCTCGTTGACGAGGAATTCCTTGATAGTACCAGCCTCGGGCGCATTGACGGCGACGTCGATCTTGTCGGTCTCGATAGTCGCGATTTCTTCATCCTGCTCAACGTAGTCGCCAACCTCTGCATATTGTAAGCTACTGGCATAACCAATTGGAGATGGTGAACGCACGTTTTGACCACTGCTTCAGGGTTCCCTCTGTGATCGACTCAGCCATCTCGGGCACCTTGACGATGGTGTCGGCATAGCTTCTTGTCTGCTCGAGGGTCCATAGGCGTTGTGAAGAAAGCTGTCCAGGCCGTCTATAAACAGTTAGTGTTGAGCCTTTCAATAAATGTAGACATTCGCAGTACCTTGAAGCTTGGGCGAGGAGACCAGAGGAGTTCGCCTTGGAGATGGCGGAATAGCTGCGCGCGGCTGGGATGGCTCGTGGGCTTGCGCGCAAAGCTCGCACAGAGCGCATAGCCGCTGGTAGACGGCGAAGACACTGCTGGCTGGACATGATGGGCGGCCAGGCGAAGACTGGGAAAAAGGAAATTAAGATGCGAGTGAGAGCGATGGGCGACTTCGAGCGAACGAAGGTTTGTGTATGAGTCCCCTTACGGCAGTTGTATGGTACTGAAGCAGACACGGCACCACACTTCTGACGTCTCGGAAGCCACCCTCCGTCACAGGCACAAATGCCAAGCCCGCAACCTCACGCTGCCCTCACCAAGCCGCCTGCGACAACACCGAGGCATTGCGGCCACGACCCACGTTTCTCCCTTCCGCAACAACTCCCACTGGAAGGGCCATCGCCGTCATGAGCTCTAAGATACACGTCCTGTACGCCAACCCCCCGCAGGCGCCGCCCTTTACGCGCAGAAACTAACCCAGCCGCAGACGCCTCTACAGGCGGTCCCTCAAGCTCGCCCTCGACTGGAGCGTCCACCGATACCTCTGGCGCGGACAGGCCCTGTACATCCGCGAACTCTTCGAGGCCAAGCGCAATGTTACCGAGCCGCGACAGATGAGGGTGCGTCTCCCTATTCCACCACTGCGATTACATCGACAACTCCACATATATTGCGGCTATACAGAGGACTCTGCTGATGAGTCGCATAGGAACTGATCAAGGAGACGGAAAATCTGCTCGAAAAGTGGAAGCACCCAGACCCTTACCGCCCACCCACGGCTCCTGGAGGTTCGTTGCTAACGCCCGGATACATTTCCGCGTCGGCCGCGGATTTGAATGTACTGACGGGTGTTGTAGGATCAAAGTACGAGCGCAACCTGCCCTGCCCAATCATCGATCGTGAGTTTACCATCAAACATTTTCACTCCATCTGCTGACGGCACACAGCTCCACCGAAGATGATTTTGTAGTCGGGGACATTGGAACAAGCATGGTATCACGTGTACATATTACAGCTATAGTGCGACTCAACAGTAGTTCGCAACAAGAAGCCAAAACCTCCATTTTTTCCGTTCAATGAGAGGCTGCTGTGAAGGTCTCGAAGCACCAACACCGTGACTGTATTCCGTCTTGGAGCGCTAATGAACGATATCTCCAACGAGAGGTCACGTCTGGAACTTCCTCACCCTCCGTACAGTGCTGAGGTATCCCATACCATCTACAAGGTTATCCTTCTCGACCCAAACGGGTAGGTTACCAACACCTGTCGTCGCTTTCCTCGCTTCTTCCTGCGCACATGCGTCCTCCAAGTAGGCCCATTCCGGCACGTCGCAGCATCCGCCTACAAAGATAGTCCTCTCGGGTGACAAGTTGTATAGCAGCGAATCGTGCGTCTTTGGTACCAACACTTCTACTATCTTCTTCTCTGGATTGAAGCTCCGAATCATCGCCGTGCAGACCAGTCTCGTCGTTCGAGGATCCAGCGGCTCTACCATTCCTGTGCGCGCGGACTCGGGGAGATATGGAATGCCAAATTTCTGGGTCCGTGGAAGCGAGCCTGGGACTGCAGCAGATGTGGATTGGATAATGTGCACGATAGATCCGTTCAGTGCATGTAGCATTGAAGATGGCTCGACTGGTTCAGAATACATTGCGAAAGCCACTAGATCCTGTGCTCGCTCGGGTGTTTCTTCGTAGCAGAATTCCCATGGTACTAGATTTGAAAGCGTGTCTGGCGACCAGCTGAGTACTTGGGCCTGGCTTGAGCTTGTACTGCTCGACTTGAGATGGAAGTAGGATTGCATCTGCATAGCTCTTAACTCATTATCCGACCTTACAGGTATCGTCTGGGCCTGTTGCGCGGTGATCTCATGGAATGTGCCGTGAAATTGCGACGTTGATGTCTGAAGCAAATGCAACTTTGCCGCTGTTTCGGTGTCGATGGCCCGCGTATCCCCGAGATGTACGACATTGTGTGGTTTAATTCTCGCCAGCAGCTTTGTTAGGAGGTCGAAATGTGAAGAGTAGAGGAAGTCGGGTATGTCGACGACTAGCGGCAGAGAGGAATCTCGCGAGGAAAGGTTTCTGTATGCCAGGAAGAGATCCTCAACGCAAGACTGATAGTAATCTGCGTAGTTGGCAAAATTCGCCGGAATTGGATGTGCGCGGATAACCTCGTTCCTCATCGCTTCTTTTGGTCCTGGTACAACAGAGGGGTGTGTGAAACTTGGGCCCAGGTTCAGATCTCTCACAATGGTAAGAGAGACTTGACCTGCGGGGACATGCTCTTGTTTTTGCGGGTCGAGATCCATCCGGCATACAGCTGGCACAGAGGGAGCGGTCTTGCCTAGACCTGTAAGGGAGCGATTCACGAGCCGCCGAGCGAATGTTGATTTGCCTGAGCTAGGTGATCCAGTCACTACGGTGATAGATGGATTGCTAGCACAGTCCTCGATTGCGCGGAGCCAGTCTTCGGGTGTCACTTCAGGACGTAATGGCCGAGAAAGTGTGTCCGCGTCTGAGTTGGTTACCTAGCAGAGACGTTAGATGGCCGTTATGTGTCGAGATCTCAACCTTTCTCACGCATGTATCGTCGCGATCAATGCTGGATAGTTGTGTAAGGATGTGGCACTTACAACTCGGAACGAACGATCGGTTGAATCGCTCCAAATACCGTCAAATAGTGGACTGACGTTTGCGAGCGGGGCGGATATCTTGCAAGTCTTGAACCTGATGTGATTCGTACCATCAAGTCCACGAATCTTAGACATGGGGTGCGTGGCCGGCACGCACGCTCGATGAACCTGGTTTTTCTGCCCATCACGACTGACTGTTCCAATGTTGGCACCATTAATGTTGACAGCGCCTCGTAGAACTGTCAAATCAAAAGTGCCTATCAGTGTTATAGTCGCGTGTTTGTTCAGGTTGATGGTAAGTTCGGTATCGGTATCTGAGAGGATGTTTTGGGGTTCGTTGCGCCAGTTGCAAAGCTTGACATTCCGATGTACGGGCGCATGAGTCTCTTCATCTGAACCTTCGTGCTCGGATTTTGCAGCATCAAGCAACGGGCTCGTTGGCACAGGAATCTGCTCCAGCGCAACTTGAGGTGTATTCACAACTTGGGCGGCAGCTTCCGCTTTTAGTCGAGCAGCCGCAATCGCAGTGAGTGGCTTTCCGCTGGGGGCACCAGCAGCAGCCGCATCTTCCCCTCTCTTACGTTTCCCTGACATGCTGACTTTGGATGTTGACATTGGTGTTCTGCATGTGCCCATCATTTCAAAGATCAAACCAATGATTTTTGGCGCGCCAAGTCCCAATCGGGACTAGTCGCGATGCGGCTCTTCTCCGCCCAGTGCCCGAGCGCGACAGTTCGCGGCGCAAAAAAGTTCCTTACGAACCTCGACTTCTGGTCGCAAAGAGCATGGCTCCACCCACACTATGAGTGCCATACAGAAAACCAAGGTGCCGCTCCCGGGCTCCAAGCCCAAGTCAAAACCTCAGAACACTCCGTCGAAAGCGCAATTAAGCCAGGAATTTGTCGACAGCGACGATGATTCTCCCAGTGAGACCGCCGCGCAGTCCAAGAAGCCCGAGAAGCCGAAAGCTACCATTGGCATTCACGTGAACGGCGTACCCAAAGCGAAGTCCAAGCCTAGCAAGAAAGACGTACCTGCCCCCAAATCAGCCTCGAAGTCGAAGGTTACGCCTAAGAAGCCTGCGCCCAAGCAAATCGCGACACAGGAGGACGCCGAAGAATTGTCAAGCTCAGAGATAAGTGGCGACGACGCGCCGACTAGGGACATACAGACGAAGCTCCCAGGTAACACGCAGAGCAAGAAAGCTTCGAGCGACAGCGACGACACCAGCAGCGGAGACAGCTCTAGCGACGACTCGGACACAGGCAACGCCCCGCAACCGACCCGCAAGTCGACCCAAACACAGCCGGCACCGCCAGTGCAACCACAATCGCATGCCGTTGATTTCCGACCGACCCAGGCTTACGCACCCCCCAAAGGATTTGCTCCAGTCCCAGTCAACGACAGGACTATCTCCAAGTCGACGGGCTTGTTCGATAATCTAGAAGGAAAGCAGATATGGCACATCACTGCTCCCGCAGGTGTCTCGCTGAAGGACTTGAGCGAGCTCGCCATGGATAAAGCTATGAAAGGGGATGCCGTACTGAGCTACAAGGGTACAGACTACGGTTTCTCTCAGACGGAGAGTGATGAGGGCACCCGGGAGGTTCTATTACCACGGAACAATGGCATGAAACCAGGTTCGTTCATCAACTACTGCCTCTACCGACTATACTGACCTGCCTAGCCCCTACGCGGATATCTCAGACTTTACGCCTACGATCGGTTGTACGACTTCCCCACCTTACCACAAAGCAAGCAGACCAAAACACGGGCTCAGAAGCGGCCGCCTCCATAACGCGATCGACCATTCGTGCACCACGACCACAAGTCACAGGACTGAAGATGCGCTTCCTTCCCACTGGCTTCAGCGGTAACGACGCTGGGATCATCGGTGATTCCGACGACGAGACTGAGGTACCGCAAGCGATTGCTGGGCTTGCGATGCCGAACGGACTTAATTTACCCTCCAAAAAGCCGAAGAGGAAACACGCTGATGTCAATGGTGTTGATGCACCTGAAGTGCCGGCGAAGAAGACCAAAAAGCAACGGGATCCTGAGGAGATCAAGAGAAAAGAGGAAAAGAAAGCAAGGAAAGAGAAGAAGCGTGCAAAGGAAGCGGCTATGGCCTGAGAGAAGGGCGCACAAACGCTTGAAATAGCACGGCATTTCCTCACACAGCGTTCTTATACCAAAAAGCATACTCGGTCAGAGCGATCGATATCTTGGCTACCTCTAGGAATCGGTCTACATACTACTGAGCGTACATATGAAGCGGATTGAATTTGACGAGAAGCCGTCACCATGAGGATTGTTATTAGCGTTTAGCACGAGTTCATCATAGTATCAGTACTATCCGGCATGGGAAGGATAGTATTCAATCAGTCAATAAGAGCACGGGTCCATGCCCCAATCAACACTGTCGCTGTCGTTCTCTCGAACTAGTTGGCTTGTGGAATTGTTGCTACGTCTAATATCTAAGCAACAGCCTTAACAAACTTAGCAAAATCTAGTGTGCCCAGCCCAGTCGCCGCATCCCATCCCACAGCAGTCTCCCACCCAGGCTCCGCAGTGCGGTTAACAATACAACTACCCGACTGACCCTCAGTCACATCCACAAACACGTGCCGGAGCTCATCCGAGTAAAGCAAGGGGTTCAAGAAACCCAGCGCCGGCTTCCCAGCCCGCATCCTCTTGTCGTTTGCAAGCGCAATCATAGCCGCAATCACAGGCGTACTCGCACTCGTCCCTTTCTGCTTGATACCACTCTCATCCATCACGAATCGCGTTCCAATAGCCGAGAGATCGGGTATACCACGTCCACCAGGCGCATACCATCCATCATGCGACCCGTTTAGTTGCGCGATGTACTTCTTCGCGTCCGCGTCCTGCCACGTAGGGCGGTCAAAGTAGTCGCTAAACCCGCCTGCACTGAACCACTCTGCGCTAAGCGGGGAGTAGGCAGCCGTTGCGCCAACACTCGTGACGTATGGACAGTCGACGGGGAACGTAGGGCGGAACTTGTTGTTCTTACACTCTGAAGATCCGGTGCCGGCGGAGCCGCCGTCGCCGCTGGCTACGAGGACGGATGTACCCCGCGCTCCGAGCTGCATGAAGAGGTTGCATGCGCGCTTGGCGTAGGCGCGTGGAATCCATGCCTCGTCGTCGGTGTAGGATATCGAGAGCACAGTAGGTAGTTCATCGCGTTCGAGCAGTGCTTCCAGGAACTCGATCCATGGCTCATTAAGGCTGGAGGCGAGGGGCACTTCGGTGCCGTTCTCGTCGAGATACGGGCCTCTGCCGCCCGTGGAGAAGTAGGTTACGTTCATGGGCTGTACGAAGGGCATGCTGTATTGGATGTCGAGTTGGGCTTCCCCGCCAAAGCCGAGCTTAGTGTCGTTGCCGTCCTGGATCGAGGCGACGGTGAAGCTGTAGAGAGGGTTGTAGCCGGTGGTGTTGCGGTAGGGACTGAAGTTTTCCAGGAAGGAGTGTAGAAGGGGCTCGTTAGGGTATTCTTCCAGGAAGCCGGCGATGCCCAAAGTCACGGGGGAGTCGGAGTCGGGGATCTGGTAGTTGATGTTGTACATGGACATGATGCAGTCGGGTGTTGTGTCTCCACCAGGGCAGGTTTGCGATGCTAGGAGGATGGTCAGCTGGATTTGCCCGGTTTGTTGGGTGAGAGTAGCGCAGCTGTTACGTACATGAATCCTGTCTCTTCTCGGAATGTAATTCTGATGATGGCAGTGCTTTCTTGGAAGGCTTGCGGATGAATTGGGTGACGGGGTAGACAAAGTCAACGTAGTCTGCTACCGCACTGGGGAGGCTGTACTTTGTCGCGCGTAGAACAGGACTATCATCGTTGTATTGGTAGCGACCAAAATCAGCGTCGATGAGTTGGCTCGCTGTGTCAACGGTAGTGTTGATTCGTAGCCACGACCCTTCAACTGAGAATGGTACTCTATTGGCATTGAGCCACGAACGCACAGCGACAAGACCGTCTTGGTCTGGCTGCTGAAAGTTGCTTATTTCGTCCTGAGATAAATGTGCCCCATACTTTGTATGCGATGGATCGCTTAGTTTTTGGAGATGTGCTTCCAGCTCCGACATGCGAGGCTGCTTTAGAGCGACTGACAGCGTTAGCGGTAGAGAACCATCGGCTTCACCGACAGACTTCCAGCCGTCTGGAAGCTCTACAACACTCTCATGTGCAGCATTGTCTTTTGCCGCCGACCGAGCAAAGGTGCCCAGAAAGGTCGCGCTCGAGACAAGAGTTGAGCCCAATCTCATGATGCAGCTGACGATGGATTGAATGAAAGAGAAAGAGTTGATGTTTCGGGTATATACGAGAGCAATTCAGAAGAGCATCGCAGACTTATGAGCGCGTGAGACGAGATGAAAATTGCGAAGACAGCATGATGCAATGAATCATGGCGAACGTTGACCCTCGACCGTCAACACCTCCAATTCGGTGCTATCTGAGGACCTTCCTAGTGTGACGTATCGCAATTTTCTACCATCCCAGCAAGGATAATGTTAAGCATTGACAACAAGCATCGCGAATGACCAAGAGCGGGCAATATTGCTGCGACATGGGTGCGGATAATACTCGTATTTCGAGGTTGCGAGCACCCGGTCAGTCTCGCTGGTATTGCGGGTGCCAGATGGGATGCAGAGGTATTTGCCTAACTCTGGTCGTATTTTTAGACAGTTAGAGCTACAAACGCGATAGAATGTATACTGACGAGGTCCAAGGTGCGGATAAAACAATGTAGAAGGTTAGAGGAAGGTTGGCAGTGTACCTGCCCAAGTGTAGCGTACTTCGTACCTAGGTAGAGCGAACGCGAATGTGGGTCGCTGTTTGACACTAGCAAATTCCCGTACCTGCACGCCGGGGTAGCTGCCGCGACTCCACTGGACGAGTAAACTACCTAGGTAACATCGCGCATGTTCCAATATTAGCACTCTTGCACCAGCTTTGCTGTCGTTCACGACCTTCTTTGTGCTTCTGCGCTTGGACAAGAGGGCAGGATGGCCCTTGTAGCATCGTATCCAAGTCATGCGAATCGCTGACAGCAAGCAGCGCGGACCGAAAACTGTCGGTGCGCCCCTTTCCTGGATCTCACCGCAAGGCAATCCACTCCGCTCCCTGTATGGGACATTCGAAGGCATGAAGCGATAAGATTTTTTTGCGCCTAGCCGTCGTATTTGGCGGGATCAATCGGCATGAAGCGACGGATACGGCCAAATTAGTCTGGCATCAAGCTTGACTTAAGACCTCTTCGCTATCTCTAAAGTCAGATCAATCGTCACCGACCTCACCGACGCTCTTCTTCTCTCTGCTCGTCAAGATGGTTCGATACGCCCTCACAGTCTCCGCGCTCGCCAGCAGTGTCCTGGGTGCTGTGCCTACGGTCAACATACCACTGAACTTCGCGCACGGCGGCGCCCAGAAGATCTCAACGGAGCTCGTCGATCCCTCGACCAACCACACCATCGAAATCGTCGTCGACCAAGGTTCCGAGAACTTCTGGGTGTTCGGCCCCGACAGCATCAGGAACTGGGGATGCACTCGTCTCGGCTGTGCAGGCCCTTGCAACGAGACGGTGCAGCCTTTTTACGACTACCCAAACAGCCCGTCGGCGTCTAAACCAGTACCCTTCCGATCCTCCTACTCGTATGGAGGAAACAGCAAGTTTATCACTGGAGATGTGGCGGTGAACGATACCTTCCAATTCGTTTCCGATGCGGGCCTTTCGTCGACCGTGGACACGGAAGTCGCGATTTCAAGCTACATGACATCGCGCCTCGGCGACAGCAGCGGAAAGTGTACTCCGACGTCTTCGTTTGACGACGGCATCTTGGGTATCTCCCCATACTACCGCAAGCCGACCTGGAACACGACGGGCCCGCACGTGCGCCAAAACCTACTCGAGGCTGGCGCCATCTCCGCGCCCGTACAGAGTCTGTGGTTCGACGAGGCGCCTGAAGGAATCGAAGATACGTTCACCGGCCACGTCGTCTTCGGCGGCGTCGACCACTCCAAATACACGGGCGACCTCGTCAAAGTCCCTATGGTTGAGGCTCCGTTCGGTGGTGTGACACTTGGCTACTACGTCAACCCGCCTGTCGTCTCAGTCAATGGAACAGCGTTCAATAACTCGGACGTCATCTCTCCCACCTGCCTCGTCGACTCCGGCACCACACTCGATTACCTACCCGTCAGCTACAGTCAAAATGACCAGTTCGCTGCTGCCGCTGGTCTCGTTGTGGACGAGTATGGTGTCATTGGCTGGAACGGTACATGCGAATCTATCCCCAAGGACACTACTATTGACCTAGAGTTCACTGGTGTCGAGGGCAAGAAGGTCACCGTCAAGATTCCGCTGCGCACTTATGCTCGCTCGGGTGTCAACCCATCTACAGGTATCTGCTCGCTTGCGTTCTCCACTGGTGATTGCCTGTTTGGTGCGCCGTTTGCTACTGCCGCCTTCTTTGCTGCTGATGATGCGGCGGAGATGGTGGCGTTTGCGCAGGGTGGTGTGTCGAAGAAGGGAAGTAAGCCCGATCCCAACTCTATCACTTTGGATCTTGCTTAGCGGGAGTGTCGTATATGAAGTTCGATTCTAGTATATATGAAATTAGCAATGTTAATTTAGGCCTGAATGATCATGGATGATAATTGTCCTTCGCGGTGTCGTTTGTTCTTGAGCCTCGTTATCCCTTGGTCTCGGATGAGACAGCACTCTGAATTTTCTCCTACCAGGTGTTAGTAGTGTCACTTGAGTTTTGATGCTTTATGTGTTTATCACACGCATTCGACGTGTGAAGTTGTAAAGGTATCGTCACTTCAGCCCGGCAGGGGATCCGGTTGGCCTAAGAATCTGGGCAGGGACCGGCCGCACGGTAGCCCAAGCTGACGAAATCGTACTAGCGCAAACAACGCGCGCTCTGTTGTCACTCAGGCGAGGGCAGGGAATCACCGCAATTGTCGTCAACTTTCACGACACTGCAGCCTCGGCCGTCGCACTATGCTGGTGAGCAGGCCTCGAAAATACACCATTGTACGCGACTTCCACGCTTATTGCGCGCGCACCCACCCCCATGGCTACCGCAGACAACGCTCCTGCCCGGAGTGCTGAGGCCTCGCAAACAGACGAAGCCGACTCCACACCCTCCACCCCCACGCTGGCACCCGCACACGAAAACCACATGGCGCACGACATCTCAGACGCCGACGACGTCAGGGCTTTCGACCAGCCCGACTCGGACCTGCCGCCGCTACCGACCGAAGAAGACGACAGCATCATACACCATGTCATCGAGGAAGAAGACGCGCACCATGGCGAAAGCGTGTTTGAGGATCGCGAAATGCAGCGCCAATTGATGGACATCGAATCGAGCTTTATTCCCGAGGCGCCTGTCCACGTCGAAGCACCTCAAGGGCAGTCCGGCGTGGACGATACCTACCTGTTCGGGGGCTCGCCAGGAAATTCCCAGCAATCGGCTCGACCCATGGACGACGATGCGGATATGCAAAGAGTCATGGACAATCTGGAGGAGCTGACAAAACCAAAGAAGAAGCCGAAGAAGCTCGAAGTGCGTAGCGGGAACACACCGACAAAGTCGCAAGCCAGGAACAGCCACCATAGCAACTCCTCCTCCTTTTCCGAGGCCCCGACGCCTGCCGACGCTTACAAGACGCCTGCTGCTAGACGTCTGGACTTCGGAGAAGATGACTCAATGGATGCGAGCACCGCAACATCAGAGGTCGCACCTTCCTCGCCCGCTGCAGAAGCCGCGCATCGAAGCCAATCACGCGCCTCCGCAGGCAGGTCTACAGAACAAGCAGCTGGAGGAGAAGGCGCGCATCAAGCGAATCAAGCAGCAGCAGCAGCTCAGCTAAAAGAGGTGGACGTGCGACGGCCGACATCCAGTGCCTCGACAGTGAAAGCTCCCGATTTCTCACAGATTGAAGAAGGTTCTTCTCTTACGAACGAGAATGACTCTAGCGTTGATAGTTCAGCCATGCCTCCACCACTGGTTCCCGCGAGCGCGCAGAAGATCAGCAAGCGACCCAGCTACCTACAGCACCGGGGTTCGAGCCAGCGGTCGTCCGTATCGTCCTTCACCAACCGTTCCGACGCTTCCGGAGATGGCGGAAGCAGTGCAAGTCTCGGCGCAGACTATGCTTTGCAGACTGGTGGTGCTATTCCTCGTTCGAGCGGACCACGGGGGATGAGCCTAGGACTGTCAAGACTGCCAAGCTTGGGTAGCATCGCCTCGTCTATGTCAGGATACAGCGACACCAACCCCTGGGAGAAGGGCCGGAGTATTAGCACGAACTCACTGTCCGCTTTTCTTCAGCCGGACAATAGTCTAGGTCGTCTGGACGAAGAGGTGCCTAACAGTGCGACTCCACCAGAAACACCACGCGCTCCCAGTGTGCAGCCCGCCCCTACCGACACCGTTATTGCTAGACATATCCAGGACATACAAGTACCAGACTCTATTGCGCGCGACTTCCGGGCTAAGCACTCGCGATCGCCAGACAAACGACACATGGCTACTCCCTTCACTCGCAGTAAACACAATCTCACACTCAAGGAGCAGAACAGCAAAATCGACAAGCTCAGCAAAGAGAACTTTGATCTTAAGCTCAAGATCCATTTCCTCGACCAAGCGCTGCAGAACCGGTCTGATGAGGGAGTCAAGGAGATGATCTCGAAGAACGTCCAACTGCAAACTGATCTCGCGACGGAGAAGAAGGAAAGCCAGTCGATGCGCAAGAAGATTCGTGATCTGGAGCGAAGGCTCAAGGCTCAGGAAGAGGGACACGCTACCGCTAGAGATGTTGGCAGTGGCTCAGAAGACGGACGAAGTGTTCAGTCATCTAGGCAAGCCGAACTGGAGGAAGAGATCGAGTTCTTGCGGGAGCGCCTAGAGTCTACGGAGATTACAGTGGACCAGTGGCAACAGGAGGCTCTTCAGAAGGAAGCTGATAATCGACGCATGGCTGATTACATCAAGACCATGCGAGAGAAGAGCTCTGGTGAAGACTCTGCTGGTGTTGACGAGGCTATCAACATGTGGAAAGAAGACTTCGAAGAGGAGCGTGCGAGGCGCGAGCAGGTGGAAACCCGCTGTCAGCAAGCAGAGACCGAGACCGAGAGGCTTCGAGAGGAGCTTGAGCGTCTGAAAGATCAAAACCAGCAGATGCAACAGATGCAGCACTCGACAACGAACCATCACATGAACAAGGTCTTTAACAACTCACGGCGCATGCACCAATCCTTTGCTGCCCGTTCGAACTCTGGATCTGATGGGAATGAGAATACTGCGCCAGTCTCGCTCGGCGGCACAAGTAGTACTTTAGTGGAGCATCTGCAGAGCGACAACGAGAAGCTGCAACGAGATCTCCACGCACAAGCTTCCATGCTCACTTCAAGGAACCGAGAGAATCTTCGACTGAGGGAGGAGAACGAAGGCTTGAAACTCACAATTCGCAGAGGTGATGCTGGATCGACAGCCGGTGATAGCATTCTGGAACGATCCATCTCCCGCAACCACATGAGATCTGTTTCGAGAGCAAGCGGCGGAACACGTTTGACCCAGCAAAGCGATCCCGATCGAGAAGACTTCGAAAGCAAGAATGCTGCATTGCGAGACGAGCTATCGCAGCTGAAGCTTTCATACAAGGAGCTTGATGACCAGCTTAATGGTCATCTCGATATGCTTGAGACCACCGAGAACAAGGTCAAGGAGCTGGAGAGGGAGATAGAAGCACAGACAGAAGACCTACAGGCACTAGCAAGCGAGCGCGACGAGGCTCTGGAGCTGCTACAAGACAAAGAGCAGGAAACTGAAGAGCTCAGACAAGAAGCCCTGGATACGGTGCAAAGGTTGGAGATTGACCTCGAGCAAAAGCAAGCGGAACGTGACCGTCTTTACAACGATCTGGAAAACACCACTGAAGACTTCCATGCTCTACAACAAGAAATGAAGAATGTCAGTGAGAGTCTTTTGCAACTCGAAGACGATCGGGATGCAAGCCTTCGCAAGATCCAGAACCTTGAATCAGAGCTTGGCGACGCCAACGAAGAGCTGAACAGGCAAGACAAGCTCCTCAGTGAGGAGAGGTCGAAGAATGAACGACTTGATGTCCAGCTTGAGTCTTGTCAGGGTGAGATCGATTTCCTGAGAGAAGAGCAAGAGGGCGACAAGATCAAGATTGGCGAGCTGGAATCGGCGCTGAACCATACTCAAGTCACATTACAAGAGGCTAGAGAGCGATCTCGGGATCTTGAAGAGCGCATGGCCGAGGAGAGGCAGCAACGCGATGCCTTGGAAACCCAGGAGAAACAAGAGGTGGAGAAGATCATCACCGAACTCAATGGTCAGTTGTCGAAGCTTAAGGAAGAGAGCAGGAAGCTACGAAAGAACCTCTCAAGCAAGGAAGTTGAGGCATCCACTTGGAAGCAACGGCATGACGAGTTGGAGCAAATGCTTCGTGAGTCACTGGGCAACCTCAACGGCACGAGGTCGAGCCTCTTCAAGGTAAAGGATGTTACCCCGATCGTCTAGAAACATACTAACTGATCGTTCAGGATATCGCAAAGCTTCAACGAGATCTTCAAGCGACTATGCAAGAGCTCGATGTCGTCAAAACCGATCTGGCGGAGAAAGACCGTTTGCTGCGCAACCGCGATGCTCTCTTGGAGAGCACTGGCATGGAGAGCCGCCGTCTTTCAGAGCTGCTCGAGCGCGAACGTCAAGGCCGCCGACAAGACCAAACAGCATTCGAAAACGCCAAGCGTGGTCATCAATCCACGACCAGGGCGATCCAGCAACACGAATCGAGGGTTCTGGAACTTGAAACCCTTCGTAGTCAGGATCGGCAGAGACTCCACAGCCTGGAGAAACAGTACAAGGAGCAGCTGCTAGAACGAAACAACCTGCTCTACGCTCTGTGGAATCGACTGTCCACTCTTTGCGGCGCAGAATGGTCCCGCAATAACGCTCTCATCAACGGAGAACTGACTTCCATGGAGCTCATTTCTAGGAACGTCCCGGGCTTCCACAAGAACATTATTCTTGCGGTCAGGACCGTGGAGGGTGTCATTGGTGCCTTCAAGCAAAGAATTCGCAACATAGAAAACAATCTGATCCGCGACTACCAAACTCTCGAGCATAGCCTGGACTCTCGCGCCAAGCGACTTGACCAGCTCGAGAAGCTTGTAATGGCCCAACGGCAATCGATTGGAAGACCTAGCACTGTCCGTGGAGGTATCGTCGACCTCAACACCGCGGAAGTCAACAAACTGCGTACTGAGAACAAGACTCTACGATCCGAGGTCCAGACCCTCCGCGCCATTACCGCCACGACGCAATCCGGTAACGATGTTATTGTCAGCCGCTCACCATCACGTGCTGCCTCGCCGACCTCCTCCAAACGTGCCAGTATGGCGCAAACACTATTGCGTGCTCACTCCGCTTCTGTCGTGGAGCATTTTTCGACTTCGAACTCGTCGACGCCGACGCCAGGCCATCCCTATCCCGCCGCTGGACCGCTTCAGCCAAGTGAACAGAAGTGGATACATCGACTTAAGGAACTCGAACGGCGTTTGAAAGCCGAGCGTGAAGCCCGACTCCTTGACCGAAGTGGTGCCCGTAAGAGATTAGAGCAGAAGGTAGAAGAGAATGCGGACCTCAGGGCTGCGCTTGAGAAGGAGAGGGACCGTCGAGACGAAGATGGCCCAGACGATGTCCAAAGGACTGCGTCTGCGAGTGGCAGTCGCATCGGTGGAAGTGGACGTGCCAGTGTGGTTGGCAGCGTGAGACACACTAATGGCAGTGGCAAAGAGAGAGAAGAGGAGATGTATTAGTGCATTTCCTATGCGGTGACTTTTCCCTTCTTGTACCAACCTTTTGTTCCTTTCTTGATAGATGCTTTAGCGATTTGCGTTCGACTTTCCGCTTATCTTTTCTTACGACATAACGAGTGACGAGGTTGCTTGGTCGGCGCATGTAGGCATTATGGGTACACTTCACGGACTAGTCGTTGCATACCATATATTAGAGGAGTGGGCGTATAGCATGTTTGTAATTGAAGGCGTTTCCTTACAACCCGTAGTACATGGTGTTGCTCCAACTATTTGAGTATGCCAATCACGGCTAACATCTTACGGACAGCACCTCAATGGCAAAGGGACACTCGTGTAAAGCAGCCATTCAATGTCATGTGTGGGAGCAGATCGATCTGGACATAGGTAAGTTAAATTGATCGAACGCCTTATCGAACGCGGCTTGCCGGAAGGTCACCTTTACCCGCTACCCGCTACCTTGTAATGACTGTCAACCCTCTCGGGTTTTTAAAAGACAAATCTCGTCCTTCTCCAGTTCAAGTTCCTCCAATCTCCTCTGACGTCGCGAAGCATTGCTGGGACATGTGACAGACGCCGGCAAACAGCACACTCGCCTCCGACGACTCTCTCACCGCTCTGCTACCTATTTGTTGAGGCATAGTGCAAGGCAGCATCCATCGAAGTTTGCATGAGCGACACTTCAATTACTACACGTACGTTCTCTACTGCTCAAGTTGCTCTCTCACCTATACCGTTGTTGCGTACGATACATGCGATACGATACGGATAAACATATTCTCAAGGTTGAAATATGCGACTTAATACTGATCTTACTTGCGATTACCAGACCGCTCGCGGGCGCTTATCTACCAGCCGAAGCAGTCGCAAGCCCGCAGCTTCACCTGACCCATCCATTGGTGCCCCAGCACTCAAAGCAGCGGCGCCGACACGTTCACAGAACCCGCCCGTCCCTAATCTATTTGCTAGTTTACTATTCGATCGCCAAAAGGTATACCAACATAAACCGCCTAACTCCACGATACCTCCAACAACACAAACAGTCGACACAGAAAAGACCAGATCAACAGCGCGACAAAGTGAAGTTCGTTCTCATTACAGCTCGCCGATATCCTCCAGGACTCATGTGCATCATCTGAAAGAAGCACATCCTGGCCACTTGAAGCCCACCATGGTATCGAAGAAACCTACAGTAAGTGGGAAACGAACACAGCCGACTAAGCAAACACCAACTAAGAACTCTGGAAAGGCTACCCTAGAGAAGTCAAAGAAGCGCAATACACCCGCGCGTGTGACGCCGCGCGCAGCGAAACGTCAGAAGACCGAGGCAAACAGCAAGAGAAAGCTGGACGACAAGGGCAGCATGGGCAACACCATGTCAACTATGTGGTCGACGACGGCTGGCAAGGAAGTCGACCTCATCACTCTATCCGACAGTGAAGACGACGGATATCAGCACGTGCGACAACGAAGAATTACCCGTAAAGAGGAAGTGACCGCGGAATTGCATGGATCGAAAGTCGACATTGACGAGGACGCCAAGCCCAGTATCTCTGATTCCGTGGTGAATCCAGAACCCATTCACCTCGAATCAAGGCCAAGACTTCCCATCTTCGACCGATTTCCTAGATGGGACTTCGGCGGCATCTCTCCTCCCACAAGCCCGGCCAACCTCTACAGTGCACCTCCACGTCTACGGCACAAACCTCAAGTCAACATGGCGGATTCGGAGGAGAAGCATGCTAACGAGCAAGAACAGTCGCGTCCTGAAGTCGACGCCGTCAAGGCCGAGCTCGCCCGACAGAAGACACTCAACGAGAAGGCACAGAGCGATCGTGATTTGGCCCAACTCCACTCCAACAACGCGACTGATCAACAGCTCCAAACCCTTCACCGCGATCTCGAGACCGAACGAGAGAACCTGCGAAAGGCCAACCTGGTCATGGACAGGCTGGGCGTCAAACTCGACAACGTCACCGCAAGGAAAGACCAGCTAATCGGAGAGCTTCAGAGCGAGAAACAACTGAGAAAAGATGAGAAGGCCGAGCATGAGCGCATACTCGAAGACGTCATGAACACCCAGTCAAACTTAGGTTCCGCTAACAACTACCTGGTCGAAGAAAACGAACGCCTTCAAGCAGAGAACGAGAGCCTCCGAGCCTCCGCCGCGCGCAAGTTCACGTTCACGTCTTCGCAGGTACCCCAGGCGCCGGCATACCCCTCGATCTTCACCCCGGAGTCCTCCCAAGCCTCTCAAGTCGCGCGTCTCCCTTCACCAGCCCCGTCCTCGATCACTACACTCGGCGAGCTTACCGACCAGCAGAAAGCGGAGAACCTCAGGAGGAACTACTTGAAACTCAACGAGCGCAACAGCCGTCTCAAGTCTGCCGCGGAGAAGCTGACCAACACTACCAAGGGCATGGATCTGACTAGCTTTGGAGAGTTTGGCGTGTATCTCAGGCAGATGAAGACCGTCATGGACAGTGATGCCAAGAAGGGCAAAGAGAAGAAGGAAGTTGCCAAGAAGGATGAGGATGATACCAAATAAGACGGCTCACCAGCCTATGGATAGCATGGCCGCCGAAGCTGGAGCGTGTGCGATGAAGGAGCGTTTCTTCTTCGATATATCGTTCTGACGACGGGTCGGAAGCTAGGGTCTGGGTATTACGGACATTGAGTTTGTGCTGCGCAGCGATGAGCGCCTTTTCTGGGATAGGAAAAGTCAACTGCTTAGATGCACATGGGTCGGCTGGTTTGCGTAGAGTTATTCTCATCGGATCGTGTCTTTGGGAGTAGTTCTGCGCGGGCAGCGAGGCGGCGTGGATGAAACCAGAGACTCACATGAATGCGATCATTATCCTGAAATAGAGCCGGTCCTACAACTTAAGCATGAAACAGCTATAACGTGAACAAAACGACCATTGGCTAACTCCTCGTACAAGTAGAATGACGTAAACCCAGATTAGGTAGAGGAGGTTCCTAACAGTCTGAGCCTTAGAAGCCGTAGTGAACATTAACGCTGACACCGTCAACAATGCATTGCCACCCTGGATACTGTCAAAATATGTTAGCATGGCAACGAAGCCTCCGAATCTCGCATCTCAAACATACCTTGGCCCTCGCCCAAACCAACACACGATCACCCGGCTCCAACGCATCCAAGAAGCCTTCTCCACTCCCCGCACCCTCGTTACCCTCATCAACCTCACACAAACCACCTTCGTCCCAGGAAACATGATAGTCCTGAGTACCAGCCATAACACGATTACCCTGTAGGTACCAAGCAGAATGCCCCTCACCACCCTGCGGGCCTTGCAGCGCACTCTCGGGCCTCTTGACAAGCGACCAACCGCGCCCCACCATATTAGTATGATAATCCATCGGACTGCTAATCCAAGTATTCACCAACCGCGGAGTAGGAAGCAGACTATTGATGTTCGATGCATCGCGCAAGATGGACACCTCAAGCCATGAAGAGGTGGAAAAAGTACCCTGCGTATTTTCGCTCGTCCAGCCTTGGTCTCTACTCGTGATGTCAAAATCGATGCGCTTGATCTTTGCTGTTTCGCCGCCTAGGCTGGCTTCTTTCACAATGGGCGTGGAGTAGGGGTTGGCTTCGAGACAGAGAGTTGCTGCCGACGGGTTATTCATTCCAGCGCGGGCGAGGACGGTTCCGCCTGACCGGGAAATCCCTTCGACGGGCCAGTATTGCGCGTGCTCTAGTATGCTGAGGACCAGCTCGGTGGGTAATTTGAGGGTCTTGAGCACGGCGCGGGCGCGACACACGTCGGCGTAGGTTGGTGTGAAAGGGCGAGTTGGTTCGGGTGGGCCTAGCAGCCAATGTATGCTTGGGAGCCATTGCCGGATGCCACCAAAAAAACTCATTGTTGTGAAGAAGGTTTGCTTTCTCGTTTCGATGTGATTATAGGAAGTGGTGGTGTGTCAATGTGCAGCAGGGCAGCGCACGATTGAGGAAGTTGCCTTGCGCTAGCCGGGGTCGCTGACGAAGGGCAGGAACTGGCGAGATGATACCTAGGTACCGGTTTTGGGTGCCACGGGCGTGATCAGTCAAGATTGATGGTATCACATTCAAATATTGCATTACAAGTACTGGAAGTAAGCCGCGACTTATCCCTGCAGGTAAAATTAAGAGTCTTGGAGTCCGGAATCGCTCAATAGAACGCCCAGCTCGCATTTAAAATCTTCGTTGTAGCTATATAGCCGTGTACCATCTTGTATCATGTTTCCATGGGGTGTTTCCGACTCAAAATCCGAATTTGCTCTTCATAGCACCCATGACTAGTCCTCTCTTCTGCTTTCCGACAAACTTGTTGACGTCATTTGCCCAACCTGCACTGTTTTGTGAAAGATTGTCCATACTATCCCCAACAATGTTGAGCTTCTCCGTGCGCTCGTTGAGCTGACGACTCGCCCAAGCACCCCATCCTTCTTGAGTCGGGGATACTTGGGTAGGATAGGACTGATATCCAGCGGCAGAAGAGCTGGCTGCGGTCGGATTGGCGCGGCGTCGTTCCTGCTCCGCCTCTGCTCGCTGCTGCGCCATTTGACGATTTGATAAGGGCCTATCAGGACCACCAACTAAGAGAAGTCAGTAATTTGTTGGGAATAGAAGTAAGAATAGCTTACTGAGAAGATCCATGTCGGCTGGTGTTACATATTGGGTGCCAGAGATCCATTGAATATTGCTGATAGTGGGTCGGGGCGGAATCAAAAGTTCTGGGTTAAGCAAGACATCCTTCGCGCGTTCACTAGATTTGGTCAGTACATGTGTCATGGCTGGGGAGATGAGTCGACCTACTATTGCAGTCCCGTTCCAAAGACGTTGACAAGAGCCATTTCCGCAGGCCCTTTCCAGCCAAAGATGTCGCCAGTACTTGTAATGACTGCCTCAGAGAAGCGCCTGATGTCTAAGAAATCACTGAGGTTGACAGACCCGATCTCCTTCAATGCAGGTAGCGAATGCGCTCTCGCATATCCATCTCCATACAACCCAAGCATTGCGTAGCCCTTGTCTTCGTACCTCACCACAGTCGCAGCATCGCACAAGAACTGATCAAAGGTTTTGTGCGCTCCTTTACTTGTGGCGGGACGGAATAACCTCGCGCCTGAGGCTGTTGTGGCTAAAAGGACGCCGCTAATCTTCGAGCCATTCCGAAGTCCAGCAACGGCAGACTGCGAAGCATATGCTGGGCGACCAGTTTCGGCGTGCATGGGGCTGATGCTGATAACCTTGTCGTCAAGCGAGCACACACCCGCAGGTTTTACTGAGTATTGGCCACTTGGTTCTGGCAGTAGCTTGAAGGTTGCCAGGTGGCCAAGATTGGTACCGACGTGAAGTAGAATGCTGGAATAGTCGTCATCTTCGAGTGTCATAACACTGAACTCGAGGCAAGTGGGCCACTCCGCTTTGGGTGCTGCCTGCGTTGAACTCCGTCGGAAGCTGGCGCGTTTGTCCGGCTTGACAAATTCCTGTATCGACGCTCTGTAGATAACAGCGGGCCCTCGCAAATCAATGATGGCCAGACTGCCACCCTCAAAGCCCGCAGCAACAAAGCCAACATCAGAATGTTTCAAGGCGGTGACTGGTCCATTGCCCTCGTCAAGCAAAGTAAAAGGCAGCAGTCCCTCTTTGAGAGCCGCTTCACTTCTTTCCGAGATATTGGTAAGCGCTTGCGGTTTATTGTCACCCGGTGGGTACTCCTGTCCAGCATGCCTGTTTACACCCCATCTGAATACCACTACTTCACCAGTCTTCAACCCTACGGATAGTTCGGATGCTGCTCCTGCAAACGAGGTTTGTGTCACGTGTATGTGCTCTGGGCGGCCGACTGCTCGAGCTACGTCTACCTGTAGCAATGCAGGGTTCTCAATCTCATCGGCGTGACCTGCATCCCATAGTCTGATCGTGCCATCTGCATGAGCTGTCTGGACGATGTTTCGATTCTCAAACCGCTTGAGCGGATGAACAGCCTCGGCACCACCGATGAGGAATTGCGGACCGTGTTGGCGCTTCTCGGTCATGCCAAGCCACCGTGTACGCTCTACAGGCGCGAGATTTGCATAATTGATATACGGATGGACAAGCGTCATGGAGAGGTGCAGTTGATTAGTTGGCGTGATGGGCATTCCGCTTGGAAAAGAGAGAGTGATCAACTCCCCAGATGCAAGTAAGGCGAGAATGGCAATGGGGTCGTGGCAGCCAGCGTAATGAGGGGACGTCCTTGGAATGAGGAACAGGTCCACCACCTCAGTCCCAGGCGGGCATGGAAGTATCCTTTGCCTCTTGGGATTCTCGAAGTGATCGGATAGTACTTGCCAGGATGCGGTCGCGTAAACCGGTGTTCTACCCAGCTCGAAAAGCGTCAGACTTTTGGCGGAGATGTTGGATGGCTGTCCACCAGCGATGAGGATAGCGGTATCGTCAGGGTCCTGGTTCGCACACCACGCAATCTTGAAGATGGGGGACTTGAGTGCAAACGATCCTTCAACGGCACCTGGGCTGAAGCTGCCTGGACCGGGCTTGTCTACGTTTGTATCGGTCAAGGTTCTCGCTTGTACGATGCGGCCATCCTTGGAATCCCATATAACGATACTGCTATCTTCGTGTCCTGTCAGAACAAAAGTGCCGGTTGGGTGCCAGACAGCCTGGGTAAGCGGAGGTTCGCGGTCCTTGGAGACGGAGACTGGATCCGAGTCGCCTCCAGGGGCTCCTTTGGGGACCACATAGTTGAAGAAATGCAGGGCTTTGTTTTGCTTGAACGAATAGATGACTGCGCCGGAGTTGTACCCAATCAGGAGGGAGCCGATATCTCTAGGGTGGAGCGAGAGCGTAACAACGGAGGTTAGGCGTGAGCGTGGGAACTTTTCCCTCCACAAGTTGGGAATCTTGAAGGGTGTAAGTGCCTCCCTAGCCAGATCATAGGCGTACACCTCACCGTGCTGTGTACCGAGCAGCGCGTAATCGATGGTAGGGTCGCAGTGCAGCGCCGTAATGCGGGCGGGAGGGGAATGGGCGTTGAGCAGCTTCTTCGTCTCGAGCGAAAAGACGGACAGGTCGTTCTTTGAGTCTACGCACAGCAGCTTCTCGGCGCAAAACTGCAGGATCTTGATCGAGGCGTTGCGCGTGGGCAGCGACAGCACCACTTCGACCCTCTTCTGTCCGAATATGTAGATCTGGCCGGGGCCATACTTGCTGTCGCTCGTGCCGACGGCGAGGAGGGATTGGACGGGGTCGTATGCGACCTGGGTGACTTTGGAGTTGATGCCGTAGTTGCGGATCTTCACGTGCTGTTAGCTTGCGCGTAGAGGGCTGGGGGAACGGCGGGGCGAGAAGACAGCGGGCGCGTACATGGTCGAGCACGAATGAATCAGGGCCCAGGCCCAGGGAGAGGTCGTTGCTGACACCAGCCTGCTTTCCACGCAAGAGGTGAGCCATGGTGGTGTGTGGGTCTCATGGTTTTGTCCGCAGAGGCAGCGATGAGGACTGCCATCAGCGACCGTCTGCCCAGCTGCCTCGCCGGAAGGAACGCGTTGCGCGACGTCATTTCGGCAACTCTAAGCGCAATGCAGGGTCCACGCCACGTCACAGCCACAGCTAGCAGTCATGGATAATGCTCGACAGGTCTCCTTTTTAATGAATCTGTTACTTGCTCGAAAAGAGAGCCCGCTCAACTATGACACGCTGGCCCTATTAACTACGTGACATGTGTCGTCTACAAAGACAACAGTGCTTCTGCTAAACAAGAACATGTCCAGAAATGATAATCCTCCCGCTCGTTGCTACTGCCCGAAACGCCAGAAGCTGATCTATGGTATCCAGAACACCATGCAAATCCATGTCCGCTCATCAAAACACCCTAGGTCGACATGGAGGCCCCATTAGCGCCATACATGGAGCCGTTGGGAGGCTGCGGCGTCCCTGATCCCTGCCTACTACTACTGAAACTATTTTGTGCCGCAAGCCGGGCTTGTGCTTGCTGCGCTTGCTGTCTTTCAAGCATCATCTGCTGAGGATTGCTGCCTGCGCCATTGTAGGGAGCAGCGGCACCAGGCGCCTGAGGAGTTGCGTATTGGGAAGGGCCGTAGTATGTGCTGCGCATCTGCCCTCCAGACACGGGCGTGCCATATGTTGGCCGTGTACCATAAGCCGATGGTGTGGGCGCGCCCTTGATCGGTGACACATTCCGTGGCGGCGGTGCTTGTGCGCCGTTGTACATGGGTGCCGCATTTTGTGAGCGAGGGTAGAAGCTGCTTTGGTTCTGCTGTGATGCATAACGGTTCTGGCCCTGTGCGGGTGTAGAATTATAGTACTGTGAGCCAGGAGCACCCGTGTAGTTGCTCGGCTGTGCCGAGCGTTGCGGGAAGTATTGACCAGAAGGAGTGGTTCCATAGCTTGGTCGCGGCGTTTGTTGGTTGTAGGACGGGGTTGCAGAGTACCCCGGCCGAGCGTTGGGAGCATAAGACGCGCCACCTGGTTGGAATGTCTGCGCCGCACCCGAAGGCGAGCGTTGGAGGTGCATCGACGATGATCGGTGGAGGGACTGTGGTTGCGAGTACACTGGACGAGCGCCTGACTGAGGCACCGACGGCGCTGGACGGCTGTACTGGTGCCCAGCTGCGGGATAATGCGCGTTGGTTCCAGAACTCGTTCGCGCCAGCGTAGCCGGCGTTGCAGCAGCCATTCCTGGTGTCTTTGCAAGTTTCGATAGCTGATCCTCCTCCAAGACGCCCTTGTACTCTTTGGTGTCGAACAGGATAGTTCGACTGATGTTCAGTTCGTCCATCTGGTCCCCATTGAGTTTGGCGACTGCATACGGCGGAAGCTGCGAAATCAACAAGGTGAGCTGTGACTTTAGTATCTGATAGACGTCGAACTCTTCCGACGAGGGTGTTGACGGGCTGCCGGCCAGGGTCGCGAGTGAAGCATTTTGTACAACAGGAGTGCGTGGGTTAGTTGTGAGGGAGAGATTCCGTATCCTTTGGTACGAGGCCAACGTCTCGAGAAGTTCTGATATCTCCTTGAGCACCTCGTCTGTATCCTTCTCCTCCTCGGTCTTTTCCTCCATCCCAGGTAACACGTCTCCTTGAACCGGGGTGAAGTTCTCGACCGCCTCTTTGAATAGTTCATCCTCATCGGTGGTCCCATTGGTGAGTGCTTGCTTAGCCTGCTCAGGGTCGAGTAGAGCCGGATCGATCGGGAACATTTCGTTGAAGCGCTTCTCACCAACCTTCTGCCACCAGACCATGTTCTTAGTCTCCTCTGGAATAATAGCGGAGCTGTCATCCCGAGTTGGCGCAAAGCTAGAGTAAGCACTGCGAAACAAGGCATCTTCCTTGGCTTGTTGGACTGCAACAAGAATCGCCTCGGACGGGGGTTGCTGCGCTTCGCCCATGCTCAACGCCCGCTGTCTGCTCTTTTGCTTCGCTGTTGGTGAGGTCTGATCTTTCGGCATATCTACCCCAGCATACCCAAGCCAAAAGCCGGAAGACAGGCTCTGATGCGCGTGCGACTGGGAGCCTTTGCGACGAGGTTTGGGCGCTTCCTGGTGCGCAAAGGTGATGGTGCTGTTGCCTTTGCTCGTTGTCGGTCGGGCAGACTTGGGGGGACTGATCTGTGGCAAGTGGGCAGGTGCACGGAAGACCTCCCCAATAGTCGCAACCTTCTTTTTGCTATCTGATTCTGGGATGGGGTATACCTCTGTCGTCGAGATGAGGTTGGGGAGGTTCGTCTCGCGCAAGGGTAGAGTCACCTTGACGGCGGTGTCGAGCGTGGATATTCCATGGGCGGGGGGTATTTTCTGGGGTTGCTGTAGACTGGAGAATAGCTGTTTCGGCGGCGCGCTCCCGTACAACGTCAGAACAGTCCGGCTCTGGGGTATCTCTGCGTCTTGTTCTTCCTCCTTGATCGGTACCGGAGTGCCCTCCTCTCCTGAGGCTGGAGCGTCGCCATCGCCGTTGGCTTGCTTTGCTGAACCAGGTGCTTTGCGCGACCCTTCTCTAGCCACCAGGTTTTTCAGGACGGTCTGGAAGGCGAGCACTTTGCCCTGCAGCGCTGTGTCTTGGGGCGACGCCTGGGCTGCCGACGAATCGCTTGGGCCGCTGGACGCCAGAATCTCTGTGGTAGCGCTCTCGACATCCTTCTCTAGTGCGTGTAGAGAGTCGTACGAGCCGTCTTGTATCAGGTTGCTGATGGTCGCCGGGCCGTTGGGTGGGGTCAGCTTGGTGCGCTTCGAGTCGGCTTCTCCAGAGGCTGATCGCGTTATCGATGAGGTAATGGGATGCGATAAGATGGAGGGTGTCGTGTCGTAGCTATTCAGTGTCAACATGCGCCTCAGAGGTGCGGACGAGCCCAGCCAGCGCATGCCGTACATGGGCTGCTGGCATGGCGGCGATAACTCGCGGGAGCGGGGAATTCTTCGCAGGGGGCATACCTCTTGAGAACTGCCAATATGTCTGCCAATACTGCCTGCAGAGAGCGCGCGCTGGCATTGGCGCTCTCTCCCGGTGCAGGCGTGGATGCGCCATTGACGGCAATGGCAGGGCGCTCGGCGAGTTTCCGTTTGGCGGCAGAGGGCGAGTTGGGCGCCTGGGGGAGCGAGGGCGGGGAGAGGGTGCCGTTGGCGGCGGCCATGGTGACTTTGGGGTACTGTTGGCGATGCGCGAGTGATGGCGTGGGATGGAACGCGCTCAGGGCGGCCGGAGTCGTGCTTAGGCGGTTTCCTTCACAGCATGCCCTGTCCGCGATACCGGCAGGCGCGATGCTGAAATTTGGAGAGGCGCGTGACGGGGTCCAAGACGGCTTCCGGTGACGCGCAGATGGTGCCTAGGGGTTGCGCGTGCTGTTGGCGGCTGTCCAAAGTTGACTTGGCTTGGTGGAAGTAAGTGCAGCGATGAATGGAACGCGCAAAGGGCAGCGCCAAGACCACGCCGCAGAGTGCCGCAGCAAATACTACCTGGCAACTGCTGACGACGATGATGATTCTTCCCTCTTTCAATGGTCTCTCTAATTCTGTTTGCGAATTCACGAGTGTTCGCTCTCCACACGCCTATCGCTCCTTCGGGTGACGATGTCCAAGTCGTCCACGGGTGGTTTGCGACTGTAGCATGCTGCGCTAGTGACGATGGGGCATGAGCTACCCACGATTTTCTCACTGCACTCGACAACTCTCCGCAATTGGTTTTCGCACGCGTCGCTCCACGTCTATTGCGTCTGATGAATGCCCTTAGTACTCTCCCTGGTAGCTCCAGGTAGTCCGTACCGCTTCGGCCGTCGTGTGACGCGCCTCCTACCGCACTGGGTAGGCCCGCACGCCATGTTCAAGGCTTACTTTGTACTGACCTGTTTTGCAAGTATCTTTGTAATCCCATAACCCATCTTCCAAGGCGGGACATATCACTCCCTTCGACATGTCATCTCTGGATTCCTTCAGCGTCCCTGCTCTCCCATCACCCCGCGACGCGCAAACCCCGCCGCGGTATAGCCTCTCCTCACCATGAGGTGCCTCATCGACTTTCGAGGCACTACTCCACGCCGATCCCTAATGACAACGCCTTCTTTGAGAGTTCTATAGATGCCTTTTCAAGCAATCTAGGTACAGATGCTCCATCGGACGCCTCTTCGCCGTTCCCAGACACGCTCGAGGATGCAGAGGAGGATGGTAGATTTCGACCGCAATGGTCCCGCGCCACGAGGAAGGCCAAGCGTCCCAGCAGACCTGCGACAGTCCTGGAATCAATGGATCGCTCGGCTAGAAACCTCTACTTCGTTTCGCCGCCCACTGCGACTGATTTATCCTACACTGCGCCCCGCTCTGCGTTGCGAGGACGCAAGCCGAAGCCTGTACCCTCCGTCAGCACCGAGCTGCTTCCTGAACCTGTCTCCCTTTACTCGATTCTTGCCCGATATCTCCAACATCTTGCGGAAATGGCAACGGATGAGTCGACGTTCCAATATACACCGCGGGAGCTGGAGATACTACAAAATCGAGGCTACACGGTTGAAAGTGTTCAACGATGGGCGTCTTGTCTCACAGAACCGCGATCGACTGCAGCAGTCAAATGCTTCGAACAAGGGGTCGAGATACCACCTCTTTTCCTGCTTCTACTGTTCCTACGTCGCAAGCACATCAGAGTACCTGCTCTTGGTATCGTCATGAGGCACGTTGGTCGTATTGCGCAGTCAGAATCGATAAGCTGGTCGGAGCTCAAGATCATCACGACCCGTTTACTTCGCCATGGGCGCGAGCTCTGGCCCGAGTCAATGCCATGGACTGCGTCCTTTTTCGTTGCCGAAGCAAGCCGACTCTGCGATGATTTTTCTGGATCCAATCCTCTATCCCTTGATATGCTTTCCGACTTGACGCAGTTTTGCAACACATTCTTGTTGCTACTATCGCTACCCACATCTGCCCGCCCTGTAGTCTTCGCTGCCCAACAAGAAAAGGCTCAATTCCAGATCCTTCAATATATGGCGAGTAGGTCGCCTGCAATAACGGTGACACGCCTCGGTTTTCGGTCCGTTGCGCGCAATCAGCTGGCACATGCGAAAACGCTTCAAGAGAGAGAATGGGCTGAGCTCAAAGGGCCTACCTGGCCACCGTGGAAGGAGAATCGCACAGCAATGGATGAGGATAAAGGCTACGAGTTTGGTACCTCGCGAGCTTCCCAGCTCTTGCACCGTATGTATGAAGCTGGGTACAGTGGTCGCCTCTGGGAAGATGTAGCGCAAGTGTACGCTGGCTGGGACACCGATTCTAGTCCTACGATACAGACTCGAACCTCTTTACCGCGCATCTCCTCCCAGTATCGAGATGCTAAACACCTTCGCCCTCTGCTCTGGGCTGGTCGTATACGAACGACACGCACGCGTAGGGAGGCCTGGGCATGCTTCCTCTCACATGAGCTGTCTGGAGAACCTGCTCATCCAGATATCTATCTTGCAATGTTCGAAAAGTTGTATCATGCTGAAGCAGAGCGATCGTCCCGCACAGAGTTCTCGTCTGATGCAGAAAATACCCATGAAGAAGACACCACTCATATGTTACCTGGAGACATGAAAGAAGCACTCCCCGACCCGCTATCTACTTTGCACTATGTGTATCTTAGCGAACCCGTTCCTGGCTACCGAGGGCTACTAAGACGGATGCAGACGGCACACGTCAAGCCTAAACGCCGCTTACTTGCGTTCCTCCTGGAGACATGCCCCGAGTTCGATACGGGTCTAGATTTACTAGACATGACTAGGGACGTTCAACACGGCAGGGTAGGCCGAATGCTCGACGGCATTCACGACATGTACACGTCAGGCAACTCAATCCCAGGTTTTCTTTTCAAGGCGATCATTGACTTCTTGTGTCGCTTTGGAAGCATCGACCAGTCATCTTTTCACAAAGTTGATTTCCTACCTCCAGAACAGCACGTTAGTCAGCTCAGGTCGAACCGGCAATATTGTGTCGAATACGCATACATGCTTCTCAAATACTATCGACCGATCTACCGACCAGCCTGGGCTTGCATGATAAAGGTGCTGGCGTCTCAGAAAGGGCATAAGCATGTTCTAAGTGTTTCTCGGTACAAGCTCATTTGTTCCATTGTTGAAAATATGGAAGAGATTGATCTTGACGTCGACGACGAGATATTCCGTCTGGTCTGTATTGCGACTATGTACGCCGCTCAAGCCGTCGAACGAGGCTCCGCTTCTTTTGAAGATACACGATACATTCTTTCCACTGCCTCCTCTCGCCTTCGTACGCTCTTCAATGGCCTAGTCGGTGCTAGTGCAGATGCGCAGTCGCCTACGGGTGATCAGACAGCCAACGTCATTTCACCACACATTCCGGGGCCCGCGGAGCTACATGCCTATGTACGAGGGCTAGGTATTCTCCGGGATTATGAGGGTCTTTACTCATTCGCCACCTGGTTCACCAAATATCATGCTGAGGTGACGGCGCGTGCAGAAGCTCAACGCTCAGGCAGGCACCTTCTGTTCAAGACGCTCGTGGCGTTGCGCCTAGCTGTCGATGGAGGCCGATTCGGACCAGCCAACGATCACACATCCGGTGCACCAGAAGACATAGCACTTCTCATCAAGACACAGATCGAGAGTGTTGAACAGTGGGGCGGTTGGCCTGCAAAGGAATATGTGGACATGTATGCCAAGGGCCATTTAAAGTCCGCACCACCCGTTGTTGGAGGACGCTAGAAGACGGTGGAATACGAGCACTTTCTATTCCATGTTTTCACTGCTCTTGATATACTGTAAAAGTAGACCACTGGCGCGTATCCGAGGATAGCAATCTAAAATTAAACGTCAACCAATATTTTCGAGACCGTGGCGAGACCTTTCCTCCAACCATGCCGTCGCCTCTGCGAAATCTTCTAGCCAATCCAACTCCGCGTCGCCGCGCGGAAGAACGGGCAAGCCTGCTGACTGAAACCGCGAGGCACGTATGCAGAGCTTCGGAGTGAGCCTACGCTCGCTTGTGTGCTGATTCTCCAATGCCTTGCATAGGTCCGTAACCCCATCCACCTCTTCTGCTGCATCCTCCCGCGCCCAATCCGGTGCGTTCTCCATGATCGCTTGGCACTTTTCCACAATCTCCACCGGCGCGGATGGCGCCCCGTCAAGACCATCATAAAAGTGTTGTATTTGGCTCTCATACGGCACAAGAGGAGGATACTTGAAGCGGAAGGGTTTCACTTCCCTGTTGTTCCAGCGAGCGGTCTTCGCCCGTTTAATCATCCTTCGCGCCTCACGTCGCATTTGAGTGGGAATGTGTTGCGCATTGAATTCGTCGGGAGCCTTGGTTCGGGGGTCGAATGGCTGCTTTAGACGGGTGGGATGGGCCTCGTAGATATCCGCCAGTCGGTAGAGTTCCGCTGCTAGCGTTTCTGCTCTGACTAGACGGACTTGTTGATACATGTCGACAAAAGCTGCTAGTTTGTCGGCGGAGAATACAGCGCCGTCTGCATGGTGCTGGTATCTGTAATCCCTTTCACCTAGTTCGGGGACCTTAGAGAAGATTGCTGAAGCTTGCACCGGCAATTTTGGGAGAATCGGTACGACGATTCGGGAGTAGTCTTCGTGGAACGTGGTCCAAGTCTCAGTAAGGATGATCGCGTTTAACTCTGAGAGCCACCTTGTTCCCAGCTCCCCTCGTTCCTGTCTGAAACGAGTCCAGTTCTTATCCAATTCATGCTTCCAGTCTGAATTGCGATAGGTCAGAAAGTAAAGGCGGCCTTTCTCTTTGAAGACGTCTGGTAAATCTTCCTTGGATTCCGGTTTCTTGAAACATGCGAACTTTACGCGGTCTGTAATGGAGAGCAGTGTCTGCCATTTACTCATGTCTTCGCCGCGGAAGTATTTACCCCAGAGCGATCGGCTATTTTTGAGGGACCAAGTAAGACGTGGCCCGGCGCAAGAAGAAACGCGAATTAGTTGCGAGTATTCCAGTTCGTCTAGTATATCACCGTGAAGCTCGCATGGGAGCTTCTCAAGATCCTGTGCAATACGCTGGTATCTCTTAGGCGCCAGCTTGATTTCCATCTTCTTGTCGGATGCAGTTAGAACTGTCGGTCGAAGGCGGGTGAAAGTGGTGCTGCAATGCGATCAAATTCAAATCGAAATTCAGCGTATTTGTCTGATGTTTTTATGAGAACGTTTATTCACGGAAGTTCTTCTCTTCATTGAGAAGCAATCTTGGAAGCTTTCGCTGTTTTCCCTGAGTCACGAAAAGGGCGCTGGTAGTGCTACCACAAATGGCCTTTATGTTGCCCGAGTTTCCTCTCATGCACAGAATCAGCAGGCACCGCCATGCCAACTCGATGCAACTTCATCGGACACCAATTTTCCTGTTACTACGAGAGCGTGATTTCGTTATTTTCTTTCACGTTGATCTAGTCATACATATACCTGCATAAAGCCGCCATTCTGACTCATTACAGGCACCATACTACGCAGCCATAGACACCCCTGAAACAATGTCCCGACGCTTGTGGGAAGACACCCGTCAGCGGCCCAAAGCCATGTAGCTGGGTAGTATACCATCTACCCGGTTATGGTACGGATGGAGCATTTCAGATTGCTGCGTGCCTTGCACTGTCCTGATCTGGGCCACGACATTAAGGTACTCATATACGAGAACTGCCTCAGTAGACTCTGACCTTACTTGGACGAAGCGGCGTCAAACAGAACTTCAGATGGACCTGCCTGAGCATGCGTTACTTCCTTCGGAAGTCACGACTACCTTAACAGCCACTACACATCTGCAGAAGGCTGCTACATTCCAGCGCGGCACCACAGCTGATCCTCTCATGGCACGGTTGGGGGAGCGCGTTCATCCTAGTCGATCCCCCAGCCTCAAGAGCCTCACCGCTGATCCCAAGCACCTCGGCGAAGCTTCTTCAAAGAAGATAGGCGGGTAGTTCTGTACAAAGGAGGATAACTCGGCTGTTAGAGTGGGGTGCGGGTACGCTAGTAACGGCTTAGTTCCCGAGGTCTTGCGGGGGTGCACCCTGCTTCTTTAATATATCTCATCACAATATGCACGTTCGACAGCAACTCTTGCGAGCACGATAATTGGTGGGCCGATTTAATATTGAGATTGTCGCCTCTTTACATATCGCACATCCTGCTTAACCCATTACAACAAACAGCTCTCCCCACGTGTCCACCACAGCCCCGTATTAGCCGTCCACCCATCAAAAGCCGCTGCCGACTCCGGAGATCGAGCTAACGACCATCTACTGCTTGTAGCAAGAGGTACGGAACTGAGCGTTCCAGCCACTGACAGTGCTGTACTTTCCACCAGCAGCGCAGGCGGTGCCGACTTCAAGAGGGTTGTTGGGGTTGGTGGCACCATCGGCGCGGTGGGCGTTGGTGCACCAGCGCTGGCAGTCGAGGTCACCAATCTTGGGGTCCTAAAGAGTATCTCAAATTAGCATCCAAGATGCATTTCATCTTTTGTCGTTCATGAAGGGTTGCTCACGGAGTAGACGCAGCAGTGCGAGCCATCACCGAAGAGGCACTGGCAGAACTGGGCGGCCTGAGCGCTGATGGCGCTGGCGATGATGATAGTGGCGAGGGAGAGAATGCGGACCATTTTGGCGTTTGTGAGAAGTCTCGAAGAGGTAGTAGAAGAGTGTGGAGTAGAGTGGATTTAGATTGAGTGTCTTGGTGCTGTCCAGAGAGGGTGGTGCTCTGATATTTAAGCTTGCTTAAGCTCTTGCTTATATCTACAGATAAATGAGTCGGCACTGATATTTGGCCGAGTGATGCTCTCATATCGCTCAAGATAGTGCACTAAAGTTAGCCCAGCCTCGTACGGTCGTTTTCGACCACCGGATATTCACGAGTGTCGGTGTGTTCTAGGGATATCTCCGTGTCAGCAATCGTGACATGCTGCGGCTACCGGCAAAAGGATTATGTGCAGGAAACTATTGCGTGTGAATTGCAAGGGAGAGGAACAAGCCAACGTAGACCAACGCAGGGGTCATGACTAATACGAGAGACCACTCAGGTCCACGCTTCCTTCTCGGCGGATATTTCCAAGATCACGAACTCACTAACCCAACTTCCAAGACTTGAATGGATCGATGGGGTCGATTTTGGAGCGGTATCTACGGTACCATCTCACCTACATGTTTGAGGGATCACGTACTAACGCAGGGGCGATAACGGATGGAGAAACCACGCTTCATTTTCGGTCGTTAATTCCAACATCACGAGCTCACTAGGCATGTGCTCCATCTACACGCTGCTGGAGTCCTCAACGAAGACACCACCGCAGATCTGGCCCTCATCAAGGTTGCTCTCCTGGAGACCAGCGGTGGCGACGTCGGAAGTACCCGTGAACTGGTGGGTTTCCTGGGGATGCACATCTGGAACTGAGGATATCATTCCGACTTGGCCAAAGTAGACTTTCCAAAGTTACTAGACATTGGGTTATATCTCGTGGCTGCAAGCGCTTTACTCGCAACTGTCTGATGGCAGTTTTGGTGGACTTCCTCTCATCCTCCCCTCGTGCTACTCATTATCTTGCTTCCATCTTCTAGAGTGCGGCATGGCTGCAGACTTCGTGGTAGTACATACCACAGTGAGCATACCGGCCCGGTCTGCACAGATAGTGACTGGCTTCGGGACATTCAGCGCGCATCTTTGGCCGTGTATTTCCCCCGTGCCGGTTTTGGTGATAGTCCACTAGTTGGCTGCTGACACAGTCCCCATAGTACTATCGAATGTACATGGTTTGGCCGTAGAGTGGAAATTTGGGTCCGAGGCGCTCATGGTCAACGGGATCCACAACAGGCAGTTCCAGTGAGGCTCTGCCACAACTCCAGAAACGTCTGGTAGTACTGACTCGTGACGGTCCGAATTCGGCAGTCGGCACTTTCCTGTAAGCACAGTAGACCACGTTTGGCAGGTTCTTCCAAATTCGGTCAACTGTTCGGTCATATTATATGCGCTGTTTAGAGCTGATCGGTGTACGTTGAAGGGTGACGTAGGAAGACAGGCGTGGGAACGTGTTATGTAAGATCGTTGCGGCTGTTCAAGCCCGTGTAGATCTTTTGCGCATCATCGTGATGGTGTGGTGGTGAGACTGTAGTTTTCTCTATTTGTACAGGTGCTTGATGCGATTGATTGCATTGCTGTGTATGTAAGGAGTGTGTGTCGTAGATGTCGTTCTATCTAGGTATCCAAACATCGTTTAGATCCCGTCTGCAGGTGCTCTCCGACTTCCGCACTGACCTCCGAACCTAAGGACCATTCGGCCCTACCTAGGTATCTAGGTATCGTTCCACTGACCTCAACATCACAATGGAATCGGCGCGACGACTTTTTTTCTACTCAGCTGACCACAATGTTTCATTGTGATAGACGAGGCCCTTGGAGTTGAGATACTTCCCATTCGAGACCATCCCCTTACGCATGGGTCTTATGAAATGCGGGCCTTGGCGGGAAGGTACCCAGGTGTGGTTGGTGGGTCGTCTCCGGGTCGTCTCTGTTGTGATAGACGAACATGATCTTGCCGTCTATATAAAGCAACAGTGATCTTCTCGATACCTAGCATACCGACACAGCATCTTCATTACCCACAAGTTTTACACACCTCTTCATCACACTCAACTACTCATTCACCTCGATCCACGACAAAATGGTCCGACTCTCCATCGCCGCGGTTATCTTCGCCGCCATCACTTCCGTCGCCGCTGATGGATGGTGCCAATGCCTCTACGCGGATGGCTCCCACTGCTGCGTTACTGTAAGCCAATGATAGCCCGAGTGGAATCAAACAGGAAATTCAAGCGACCGAATCTAACGATGTACTAGCAATACGGCATCAGGAAGGACTGCGTGGCCCGATGCATCGACAACGGAAACTCGGACAACAAGTGCAACGCTGGTGGCAAGTACTCGGACGTTAGCTCGTGGAACGCTTCGTGGCGCCGCTCCTGCACGGATTGGACCATTGGAAACGCGAAGTAGAGGGGGAGCTCGTCAGGATGCCCTTGCGCAGTTCTTAAGCAATCGTCTCTTTGTATTATGGCAGTCAATGTGACAATGTACCTTCTCTTAAGTTTCCTCAGTTCTCGAGATCCTAGGACCTCGATCGCTGGGAAGCTCCCATTCAATCTAAACCCTTTTCTGTAAATACGGTAATCGCCGCGTGTAATAATTGATATGACGGTGTGCCTTCTCATCGTGTGTGATTGATACGATGATGAACCTTTCCAAACGAAAACAAGCGTACTGTGGTAGACTCCGTGAGATTACTTGAACAGATCCAATGTGACCTATGCACGTCCCCCCGTGGGGTGCTTCGTAAATCCGCCGAAATATGATTATGACTCGTGTTATGCGGTCTCTTAGTCTGCTGGACTCTATAAAGATCGTGGTCTCTCTTCCACTCCTCAGCACCATCACACCACTCATCACATCTACCCACAACCCAACCCAACCCAACCCAACTGCATCCTACCCATCATCAACGCCCAACATGCGTCTTACTGTTGTTACCGTGCTCCTCGCCAGCGTAAGCAGCGTTGTTGCTTCGTACTGCCAGTGCCTTTACCCAGACGGCAGCCATTGCTGCGTTATCGTAAGTCGTCATGTATCACTTCACACTCAAGATTGACTTGCTCACCATCGTGATGTTTTCAGGACAACCTTGTCGATGATTGCCCGAGAATGTGCTTGAGGGCGTCCAAGGACAGCACGACTGCTGGACAGTGCAACGCCGACGGGAAATTCTCCAATGTCAGCTCATGGAACGCCCAGAGACGCAAGCAGTGTGGCAAGCCCTACATTTACTAGATTCGGAAATTCACTCGCACTATCGCCAAAGCTCCTGCGAAGTCGTTCTGGAGGATGGGACTTGGAGAGTCCTGTGGTGGAAACTGGTGGGAAGATCGCTTGGGGACGGTTCTTGAAACATGATGGGGCTGTGGATAGGGAGGCGGGTCGATCGTGGGTACCATTGCGGATGTAGCGAGTAACAGCGAAATAACACCTTGCCTATCTACCCACCCTTCCGTACCGTTCGGAAATCATACCAGAAGCTTATCATGCGTATATGAAAATCAGTTGACCGGAACTTTTCAGTGTGGTTAAGCTCGGGTTGTACAGGCGGCTTCATGGATGGCGGCTTACGGGTACCTGCGCTACTTGCTCAGCTGTTCAGTTGCGACACCCTCTCATATTTCCGTCCCGCTTCCGTGTATTACAAGTACCATACTCGTTTCGAAACTGCTGAAGATGTTGCTGCTTTGTGACAGACAGGCCGATGCCAGCCATGTGGACCCTGTCGTAGTTACATTCGTGAGAGGAAGCCTGAAAAGACAATTTTTGTTCAAGAAGCCGGAAGCCTCAACATCTCCCATCTTCAAGTCAATAACTTCATCGTTTCTAACATACTCAACCCCTCCAACACGCCAACCACATCCTACCATGTCCCCATCCATCGAGCTTACCACTACTCCTCGCCCCACTCCTTCTGTCACTTCAAAATCCACACCGAAAGCCCATCTCATCCTCATTGTAACCCCCCTCTACCTCGGCACCTTCCTCGTAGCCCTCGACACCATAATCCTCAACCCCATCCTGCTGACCATAACCAAAACCTTCCACGTCCTCGACCATCTCGCATGGTATGGAAGTGCGTATCTTCTCGCGCTCACAGCGCTGCAGCCCACATTGGGGAAACTGTATAAAGTGGGGGATGTCAAGATGTTGTATCTTGTCTCTGTGGGGGTGTTCGAAGGTACGTCGGATGCTTTCTTGCTCTATAATGAGTGTAGGGTGTACACTACGAGAAGCTGATGTAGCCATTAGTCGGCAGTGTACTCTGCGCGGTCGCGCCTTCCTCTGCAGTCTTCATTCTAGGGAGAGCGGTGGCGGGATGTGGAGCAGCGGGGTTGATGCAAGGTTCTTTTGCCGTGGTAACGAAGACTGTTCCTTTATCCCAGCGGCCCTTCTTCTTCGGGCTGTTTGTCAGTGCGTTTGGGGTTAGTATCGGGGTCGGGCCAGTGGTGGGAGGTTTGTTGGCTGATCGAGGACTATGGCGGTGGTGTTTCTGGATGTGAGTATGACCCAGATCGCTGAGTTTGTGCTTACGGGTTACAAGCAATCTGCCCTTGGGTGCCATGGTTTTAGGACTCGTTGCGGTGTTTTTGAGACTTGATAGAGAAAACCGAGCTGGGAAAGTGAAGACCTCCAGCCGCGGGCGTGATGTTGGACGCTTTTTCTTCAAGCTTGATCTAGGAGGGAGTCTCTTGCTGATCGCGTCCATGTGTTGTCTCTTCATGGCAATGCAATGGGGTGGCCATCGTCTTCCTTGGAGCTCTCCCATCATCATCGGCCTTTTCTCTGTCTCCGGGGTCTTGCTTGTGCTGTTCCTCTTGGCGGAGTGGAAGATGGGGGACGATGCATCTGTGCCGTTTGGAGTCCTCAAACAACGATCTATCGCTTTCGGGGTCGTGTATCTATTCTTCTTCTCGATGCCAAATTTCTCGGTATGTAATTGCTCCCCGCACACATCTTCCCGATAAGACTGACATGAAGATAGTACGGAGTATACGTACCCATGTTCTTCCAAACAGTAAAGGGATTCAGCGCGCAAAGGAGTGGCGTAGAGATTTTGTTCTTAACGTTGACGCAGATTTTGACTGTAGTAGTGGTTGGGGCCCTAGTTTCGAGATCGGGTTATTACGTGAGTTTCTGCAGAACGATCTCGCTGTTCTGGACTGAGTCTCGATAGACGCCATTCATCATCCTTGGGACTGGCCTGAGCGTAGTAAGTTCCACTTGGAAATTTTATCGCCATGATCACCTGACCATTCGAATGAAGGTCGGATCCGGGCTCATTACGTTACTCAACGTCAGCACCTATCATGGTGCGTGGGCGGCATACTTCATCATGTGCGGTGTTGGTACTGGCTGCGCGATCAATCTGCCGTACACAGCTGTATCGGCTGTCTTGAAGGAGGAAGACATGGTCACCGGGAATGGTAAGGCTTGTTTACGTCGTGTTATGTAAAATCTGACTTCCGCTCCAGCATTATTACAATTTGCCTTTCAACTTGGCGGTGCAGTCAGCCTCTGTATATCGCAAACCATATTCTTGGGTCGCTTGACAGTGGACATCAAGTCCAGCCTTCCGATTTCGCCGGTGCAAGGACTGAACAATAACGGAGCGAACAAGTTGGCGTATCAAAACGCCATTCGGGACGTTTTTCTCTTCTTGCTGGTGACGAGTGGGCTTGCCTTGGTTGCGTCCTTTGGGTTCGAGCACAAGAATGTCAAGAAAGTCGAAGAAGGACAGAAGATAGGCAGTGCACAACGCGCGGAGGTGGAGTGAATGCCTTGTTAAGCTTCTGCTGCCAAAGCGTATGTATGGGGAGCCGGACAAGAGGATGTTGAGCTATCGGTACAATGACGATAAGTAATGCAATTGCCTATTGAAGCATAGCTATGAGACTGGCGAAGCCGTATGGGCGCAGATCGTTGTGAGAAGACTCGATGATGCTTGGACGGTAGCAGGTATGATGCATGTGATTCTGATCACGAGGCACGCTTGCCGCGTCTAAACGCTTATGGAGCGGCGGAGTAATATAGTGGTCACGACGCGTGACGCGGTAGGGTAATGACCGGGGGTTAGCTTGGACAGCTCTGCCGAAGCCAGCCAGCCCCGCGACACCTCAAGCAGCAATCGAGCATCTCTCCCGACTCCAGCACGCCGCTCCGTCAGTCCACTCTGGCGTTGGTACACGGCCAAATCGCTTTCGCATATCAATTCACTACACAGCTTCCAAGTCGCACCGCCCAACGCCGCACCTGTCCACTTGGCTAGGCAGCCGTATCGTGGGACCGTACAAGTACTTCGAATACGAACGACGATATCTGCAAGCACCGACGAACGCACGCCTAACACCTAATCGACGAGCGGAAAAATAACTGCACAGTATGGCAGCCTTCTTCGAACAGCTATGGGAGTCCATCTTCATCGCGGGGCCGACACCCACCCTCCTTATCGCAACAAACGCCTCGTTCGCTGCGCTCCAGGTTCTTCTGTTCGTCATGCTCATCGCGACGTACAGCATACACTTCGTCATCCTCTCCCTTCTATGCGGAGGTCTCTGGTGGTCGATAAACTGGTTTGCGACGGAGCTCAAGGCTGCGCAGGCGAAGGAGGAGGAGGCAAAGCGTATCCGAGAAGCTAGAAGGGGCGGAAAAGAGAAGGGTGGTGCAGGCGACGACGGAGACGGCATGGACACAGGCGACGATACCGAGGTGGATACCGAGGTCGAGCAGACGCAAACGATAAAGCCCAAGTCGAGCCAGCCTCGTGCGCCCCGCCCCGAGACACAGAGCACCGTGTTTGTGGAGAGACCGGGTGGAAGTGAGACAGAGAACCCAACACAGGCTGCTGCTTCTGTTGGCAGTGGAGGTCCTACTACTGCGAGTACTACGGGGGCGGCGACGAGCCTTGCAGCACCGGTAGACGAAGCGCTGAAGAGAAGGAAGGGCATGGGTGAATCAACAGGTGATCTATCTACCGATAGCGAATGGGACAAGCTATCGGAGGACTCAGAGGACAAGTGAAGTCAAGCGCATCTTACTAGATACAATTCGTTATGTTGGATACTAGACGCGATTAGATTCTGTGGACCTGTACACCGATGTCATTACACGTGAACACGCGCGGCCGCCTCTGTTGCCCTGCATATCAGACATGGCTGCTATTCAAGTGCCGTTGCTAGTCCACCATAATCTCTCTTGGATCGTCGTCTGCCTTCATGCCCATCTTGTTCGCGATGCATGTGTCTGATGCCCAACCTCGTCAAGTCGAGCTGGTCGTGCTTGCCACGCGCCGCAGCAGGGCCCTGATTGCCCCGCCATGTATCCAGCATCCCCCACCCCCCATCACAGTGCCCTGACTTCCCCATGTCACTGATGAGGACGCGTAATCTCCAACCGCGCCGGTAGCG